CCAAAGCTCCATAACACTGAGCTCCATCCTGTCTGCCATCACAGTAACTACCTGCCAAATTCCCCAAAAGTTATTTTACAAGTTAATCTATTTGACACATGTAAGTTAGAATAATAACAATCAGAATAATAACAACAGCAATAATAAAATTGAGATTTTATTGCTGCCTCATCATTTCACCAGCATGGCCTGTAGAAACATATCATGTTATCATTGACATCAGTGAAGTACCAACATCAAAAACAGGAAAGTACTTGTTGCAGAGAGCCCCCAAAATTTAAAAAATAGATCCTATTTTATATTTTCATGTTCATGTGCTCAAATACATTGTAATTTATTTCAAGTTAATATTTAAATGGAAATGAACTAAAATGAAAATATGCCATTTATACAAAGGATTATAAAAAACATCAGACACAACCATATTAAAGCCAATAAACCCAACAAATGATTATGATAAAGAATAGTAACGAAAATAAATAACGTCAAATCTTAATTGTAGCTTTATGTCAACTTAAATGGGGGTTTTGGCATGATTTCATCATCCTTTACAGTGTTTTAGCTGATTTCCATGCTGTCTTTTAATCGTTTTAATCTTGTATCTGTTTTTTTTCGGCTATATGCTCTGCTATTACTGCAAACAGAGAATGCTTAATGAAGCACAATTAAAATATAATCTAACTTACCGGAGCTGACTCCTAACAGAAACAACAGTCCAACCACAGTTTCCATTCGCGTTTCCTGCCTTTCTATCAGTCTGCCCCTGAACAGTTTGAATGTTTTTTACATGCTCCGATAAGAGTGTCGAAACAAATGGAGAGGTGAAAAGGGAAGTGAAAACCGCACACCAAAAGAAAAAGAGAAGGTCGTACATATTTTTCTCTGATGCTTGCTTAAGCCTTCACTGCTTAAATTAAAAGCATGCTCAGTTGAAAGCGCTTTGAAGACCAATAAAACAAACTCTTCACACCTCGTCTTAACGTGGATTTTCTAATTGCAGAAAATACCATTAAGATAAATACTTTTGTAATGTGTAGCTCTCTGGCTTTTAGATATCATCATAAAACACATTAGTTTTACATCACATTATTGACATGTATGTTATTTATCTCTGTGTACAAACAGAATAACAGTCTGCATATTAATCACTTATTTATGCAGATATAGATGAGATTACAGGGATGACATCACACTGTCTTCATCAGCTGCTTGCCAAACTGAGTAAAAATCCAGCTTCTTTAAAGAGAAAAGATAAAAATTGTTTTAACATTTACCTTTATTTTTAGTAGTAATAGTTTCTTTAAACTGACCGCTTTTGAATTTATACCGGAAAAAAATCCTGATGATAACCAAAAACAGATTTTCATAATGGGCTAAAAAGGCCTTTGTGACTCATATTTTTTGTCTTTACCAAAGCAGCTTGAAGTGTCAACATTAAGTGTCGTCAGTCTCCTCAGATTGTGTCACTTTTGAAGAATGACAAACTACCAGTTGCAGTAAATACGCCTCCAGGCTTTTTTCATTCTTATCTGTGAACAGGAAATGTAATTTATTAAGTTAATTACAAAGGATCAGTCATGATGACTGCAGTCACCAACAGGGGGCAGCCTCACACCTGCTAATGTAGGACTCCAAAGCAAAAATTGTTTGGTCTCCCAGGATCAACCATTTTTATTTTATTTTTTCTTATATTCAACTACAATAAAGCTTGTGATGCATAATTCTTAAAAGTGTGTAATGTTTTAAACTATTAATGTCCAACTAGAAGAGAACATGTATAACCTGGATCATTTGGTCTTTTTTTCATCAAAAGTACAGTATTTAGGATTTCTGCTTACAGATATTGTGAATTTCTTTTTGTATTGAAAGACCCATCTACATTGCAAATAATGAAATATTTTCTTACAAAATTTTTCTTTCAAAATCAATTTTTTTTTAACTCAGACTTCACCTTAACATTGTGAAAACAGAACAAAGCACAGACTGAAATATTTTTTTATTAAAAGAGCCGAGTAAAAAGTCAACCCTGCAAAGTAAGCAGTGTAGCTGTTTGCTAATGCAGGTTACATTGCAGGGCTATTATCCTGAGTTTAAATTTTCATTGTCTTTTTTTTAAGAAACACAGTTGCTAAAATATAAACACATCCCTTATCAAGCAGAAAAACTTCAGTTAAGTCACATAAACGTCCTCTGCTTTCTCTGTTCTGTGTGGATGACTCTTCAGCCCTCTCCCAATCTTCTTCCAGTGGAACTAGATGCCAATCCCAGGCAGTGACTGACAGCAAACCGCATATGAACAGGGAGTGTTCTGTTCAGAGAAAGACATTCATTTGCAAAACATTAGATGCTTACCTATCAAACAGTATACTCAAAGCGATCTAAAGAGACTCTTCTCTTTAAGATTGCTTTAATCATAATCTGTAATGTATCACAGGTATGGTTGTCAGTGATTGTACTTCAGATCTTCCCTAACACTTCCTCTCCTTCGGCCCTACTTTTCTGTTTTTATTTGTGTTTTCTGTACAGCTGCTTGTAGATTGATTGGTTAACTTGCCGTGCAGTTCCACTACATACTGCAAACATCGATTATCAGAACGCATAAGTAAAATTTGGTGTCTACTCAGCCCTGGACAAATGTGGCATTTACATGTTCTCAGTGTGCCTGTACAGCTTTTTCCGTCTGTTCTGGACAAAAGCACAGATGCTGGGATAAAGGGGAAGTTTAAGTTGACTAAATGTGTTAGCATGTCAACCGGCTGGGGCGTGTAAAACTCAAACCAGAAACTGATCAACCAATTCTTGAGCTATAAGTTAGCTTGTTTGTTCATGTAAAGAAACGTGTACAGATGAATAGCTTCAGTATAACCAAGTTAGTTTTGGACATTCATGAAAGGGTTAAATATCTGTGGATGGAGGTCAGGGATCTCACAGTTGTGTGCTATTGTTTCATTATCAAAAGGTACACTTTTGAAAAAATCCAGATGAGCAATCCACAACAAAAAATATGTATTTCTTGTTCAAAGGTTTATCAAAAACAAATACATATAAAAAAAGTTTTACATTGCCGGAGTTCATATCAGATTTCATTTGATGACCAAAAAAGATTTTACGTGTAGGCCTCGTCTAGTCCAGCATTTTTCATGTGAATAAAGCTCACCAACCCATCATGAGACATCTCCAGGAGTGTCGTCAGCAGATGGTGTCAGACGATAAGAGTAAAGGGAAGTGTGAAGAACAGAGACAATTCCTCTTAGTGGAAAAGATCATCTTCATTTTGGACATGTGCTGAGTTTGAATCTCCATAAGACAGTATGATAAATTTCCACGATGCTGACAACATGAAAGTGTCTGTTTAGGCCGGGTACCCCTAACAGATGATGGTTTGCATTACATCTTCTTACAACACAATAGAAAACAGTTGAGACTTTTTGAGGACATAGGAGAGACATTTCAGTCATCTTGAAAGTGAAATTCATGTAAATTCCTGTTACCTAAAGTCACAAGTCCTCACTGGAGCCTGTACACACGCGCATCGGCCAGATGCGCGTGTGTCCGTGTGTGTGTAGAATGTTCACGGGAAAACAGACCACTCTGGTAATGTTTACGCACAGCAAAAGATGAAATGTGAAAAACTAATACAATTGAAAATGTAATTAGAAAATATCTAAAGTATTTGAGAATAATATAAAGTTATTCCAGTTACTTATTATATGTGTAAAAACAATATAAATGTAGTTTCTAAAACCTCATTTTAGAAATATTATATTCTCCTGTTTGATCACATACAGGATATAAAACTAAAAAATCGAAAGAACAGAAGTTCCACCTGTACATGCCAAGTTAACATTAAACCAAAGGAAGTGAAACAGGCTTAAAATGTCAACATACAAACCATATATGCCTGTTTTACTCCACAACATTTCTCTCTTTCAGCCTTCCTCACAGCTGTACCCCATCACTACATCCTCGTTCAGGCTGAGGAGCACACAGTTCCTGAAACTGAAGGGGCTGTTGCCAAAGCTCATGTGTGCAGTCTGAAATATCTTATACACCATGAACCTTTTTCATGCCAACAATTAAAATCCTAGAAAGAGTCAAAATTAAGCTGAAACAAAACAACTATTTTGTGTGAAACCCAAATCTCAGCTTCTATTTGTTACCACGAGGCTTCCTGATTTAAGTTTGCTTTTAATTTTGCTGCTTTCCAGTGAACACACTAACAACAGAAAGCAGTTGATTAATCTTTTCTGGTGTTTTGTCAAGGGAACACACCAAGTGTTGATTTTACAGTCTACCTTCATTCCATGGAGTTCTACTGTTTCAGTAGTTTACGGAAACAAGTCTTTGTGCGAAACAATGTCATAACAATCAACTGCTATATCAAATGTAACAGCATGAGAAGATTCCTTTTCTGTCTCAGAAACACGTGCAACACGTTCATTCCCATATGTAGTAGTTGAGAATGAGTCAAATAACTGTCTTACCACATAGGCTGAATTAAATAGTAGCTAATCCAGGACAGAAATAATGTTCCTATTTGAAAATAAAATATAAAGCCTGTTTATCATGAATTTTTACATGGATTGTTAAACGATTATTTCTTCAACTATGATTGGAGAATAGCACAGCTTCAATCCTCTGTACATCTACAGTGTTGACAATAAAAAATACTCGTCAAGATTAACTAAAGATTATATGAAAAACATAGATTTCAGTATGCTGCTTACAAACCTCAGCCTTTTATTACCTTTCATCCAAGAGCAAAAAAAACACTGTACAGTAATTTACATCAGATTATTCTGCAAAAGCGTGTGTGTACATTTCATTTAATTTACCACTGTTGATAACCAATACATGGGTTTTAACGTCAGGGTCGGAGGACCCGTCTTGTCCTATTTTTGGTCCATTTGTTGTTTTTTTCTTGTTTTTTTTTGAGAAGCAGGGTCCTCACATATGATCACTTTTGAGGTTCTTGGTCTAATATCCACATCTCCTGGGCTCCTGCTGATGATTTCAGTCCAGTTCCGCACCTTAAGCAGAAAACCCAAAATCAATAGAGCAGTCAAAAAGACTTTTGCATTTCAATCAACACTTAAAGCTATTAAGAGTATGATGACTCTGTGAGTTGCTTAGTTTACCTCACCTCTTGCAGCACATGTTTTTCCTGCACACGTAGCAACATGTCGCCACTATCAGGAGAGCACCCAGTGCAGCACAAACTGGGATCAGGATAGCAGAAATGTCCTCTGTTGAAATAAATACCAATGACATAGTACATCAGTGACAAGCTTCTGTAGTGCTTTGGGCGTAGTCTGACGATTAGAGAAAACTCATGCAGGCTTCTGCAAGAGCAAACGTGAACAGTTCACCATGTTCCCCAAATTTTCTGTACCCGTGGTAACAACATGCCAAAACCTTTTATGTTAATGTGTATGTTTAAACTAATCTTTTAAAAGGGCAGCAGGTTCCTGCACTATGCATTGGTTGAGAACTCACAAACCTAATCTTGGAACCAAATAGATTGTCAAATGAAATCAGTATAGGTGGAAAGAGAGACGGACACCCACAGGCTTAAAAGTAACAGAAAAGCCACAGCCAGTTCCTGTGACTGAACCACACCCAACTCCTTTGCTTCACAGCTCTTAATCAAAGAGGAGTAACTTGCTCAATTTAAATCAGTGTATACATATTCTGTGAAGTAAAAGGTTTAACAAAAATGTTCAATATACACTATAGAGTTATAACTGCTTGATGCAAACAAGCTCTCTGTTAAACACGGGTCGTGTTTGTTATTTTAACATTAAAGTTAGTCTGTAGCATTGTGTTAGTGAAAAGATAAGCTGAGTGACTTATACTAACCTTTAACTTCCAGGTTAAAAGGATTTTTTTTCACAAGGATCCCATCTTGATCAAAGATATCTATGTTGTACCGACCGGAGTCATTCCTCGCCACGTTGGTGATTTTGAGTGTGCCGATATTGTGGAAAAACTCTGTTCTATTTTTAAAGGCGTTTTCTATCTTCAACTTTTTGTTTCTCCAGGAGAACACGTTTATGACTTCACTGGAAAGTTCCTTCTTGCAGAAAACCTTATACATGCTCACATTGGTCATCAGTTTTATATACACAGATCCTCCAAGAACGGCCGAACACAGGGTTGTGTTCTGTATGTTACATTCAGTCTCAGGTGTCAATAAGAACCCTGGAAAAAATGCATTGAAAAAAAAGTAACATGTAAATGAGGTGACAGCAATTGCAATACAGCACGTTTATCTCCTGATGACAGCTGTCTTACCAGAAACCCCTCCTGCTAACATCAACATAATAATGAATTGTTCCATTGTCCTCTGTTTTCTTGTTTTGCATCCAAAAAATCCAGAGATAGTAGGAAATAAACTCAAATTACACAAATGAAGTGATGTCTGCTTCTCTGCTTCCTCTTGTGCAGGTTTCACACTTTGTGTGCCACATTTCAAACACAGCCTTCCAGTCCTATCTGGGCGGTCTGTTTAAGCTGCAAATCTCTCTGCTTCATGGTTTCTGTACCGAGTGGTGCTTCCGCACCTTCACACATATCCTGCTTTTTTCACTCACCACTCAAAAACCCAAGTGAGAAATAATCTATGTGACATGAAGTGATAAGATCAGAGCCAAGATGCCACACACCGTGTATTTGAATCAAATACTTGCACATACCAGTAAAGGTGCAGCAATGTGGTTGATAAGGGACCAAAGAGGAAGGAAATCATCTTAACCGTTTCACTTCTCTGTGCAGAGCCGTTGAAGAATACTGTTTTAAAACGATCTTAAGAAATATACATGTGTGCAAATGCATTTTTGTGCGTGTGTGTGTGTGTGTGTGTGTGCGTGTGTGTATGTGTGTAACGTCGACCTGTGGGCTGAGTCTCTGTAGCTCATCTGCTGCTGAATAGAAGCCCTGCTCCTTCAAAGGGCAGTATCTCTCTGGGTTGTTGTTTTTTCCTCTTTCCCTTCCTGAGCTGGCTCTATATGACGGATATGTCCCTGCAGAGGCCTGGCTGTCAGTCAGTGCTGCTCCATTGCCTGTTCCTCTTCCTCCTGTCCCTCCTGAAGTGTCTCAGACAGGTTCTGGCCTTATTTCTGCTTGTGTATCAGCAACACTCTGTTTATTGGTATCTTTCTCCCTAATCCTGAGAGACACATTTTGAATTGTAACTGCTGGCTCTTACAAAAGAATGTGAAATTATTAATATGTTTACCCGAGGAGACTGAAACCACACAACCAGTGTGGTCCCAGTGCACCCCTACCATTGGTCGTCACTCAGCTGGGCCCTTTGATCTGCATGCTGGTCTCCTACAGCCCTAAATAGTTTCTGCAGCTGCCACACTTTCTCCCAGCCAGACGTCAAAGTGAGGAAGTATTATGTTAAATATATCTGTTCAATATCTTTATCTGTATATCTGTTCAATGTAAATAAATATTCAAATATTCACATTGATTAATTTGATCTGATAAAGAACAAAAATATGTAGTAACACATTTTTAAGACAACATTTAATTACAAGATTATACCAATGAAAAACACGCTTCTGTTAAAACAAAGCCAAAATTAAAAACAAACCTTCATAGCAATGTCACAGTAAGGGTTTGTAGAGAAAAAATAGAAGTCAAGCTGAACAGCCATATCTAGGATTTACATGAGCCTCTGTCCACCACAAAATAAGGTTTTGCTGTGTTTTCAACATAGATTGACTTGCAAGTTTTTAGATTATTACTTTCTGGATTCTATAATGCTAAAATAATCCAGTCTAACAAGCTTTAATTATAATTTCCACCCAAAAAAAATATAGTTTGATCTGCCAAATCAAATTATACTTCTGTTTCCTGGTTCTCTGAACTCTTCAGTGAGACCATTGAAAGCATCAGAAATTCCATGTACACGTAAATAATTTATTTCCAGCATTTTGTAAAACGAGACATTGATAATCTGTGGAGGAACATCACTGCGCTGTAACTGTGGCTCAGCTTCACAAATTGTTCTGTAACAAACAGAACTACTACTAATTTTAGTCGTGTTGTCTTTATATTCTGTTGGACATGATCCTTGTGTTAAGTCTTCTGAAAAAGGACCGACTTTTAGATAACTTAGCCTTCTTCTTCAAATCCATGTTCTTTTTAATGTAAACACTATTCCAGCTGTCTTCCTCTTCATCTCCCACCCAGGGACCCCAAGCGCCTCCGTTCAATTTGGGGTCAGCTCGCGGGTCCTCTGGCGGGTACCTCACTGGCACGGCAGTTCGGTTGTAGAACACCAGTCTGACTAACAGCTCTTTGACAACGTCTGGTCTTTGCTCAGAAAGATCAAAACGCTCGTATGGGTCCCCAGAAATGTTGAAAAGCCACAATGATTTCTTGGGTTTGGTGTGGCGTTCAAGATTCCACCAGCTGTTGGGAAAACCTGGAAGAGTCTGTGGTGGGATCCAGTCTCCATAACCAGGGTCTCCTGTCAGGAGTTTCCAATCTCCTGTCCGTATTGATGCCTGAATGGCTGTATTCCAAATTCCATATCCTTTCTGGAGAGAACCACTGCGTACACGATTATATAATGGGTCAATATTGTGAAGGATCTCCAATCTAGGGGACTCCTTCCCGTCGCTGATTGCTTCCCAGACGTTATAGCCATCCAGACCCTCAGTTAGTGACTCATTTCCACCTGCTAATCCCACCAGAGTCGGATACCAGTCAGTAATATGCACCAATGCTTTGCTCACCCTCTTCTTCTTCTGCAACAGAGGACTATGGACAAAGCCCAGACCCCGGATACCACCCTCCCAGTAGGTTCCTTTACGCCCTCTAAGTGGCCAGTTACTTCCACCAGACAAAGGCTGGCCACCATTGTCAGTGGAGAAAATAAGGACACTGTTCTGGTAGTATCCATATTTGCGGAGTGCATAAGTTATATTTCGGACTCCCTCATCTACCGCTGAAACCATCGCGGCGTACTTCCTTCGGGCAACATTTTCCAGCGCACTATACGGGTAGATATATTCCCGTGGGGACTGTAAAGGTGTGTGAACAGCTTGAAAGGAGAGGAAAATGAAGAGTGGCTGAGACTTAGGATCGTGGGTTGCTAGGATCTTACGAACCCTCTGAGTGTACAAATGAGTGGAGTATCTGCCCCTCTGATCCCAGGCTACCGATTCGCCTTCATGGAGGTCATAGCCACACATTCCTGGGCCATCACAGGAATCGTAGGTATAGTAGTTAACACTGCCTGTCAAGGATCCAAAGTATGAGTCGAAACCACGACGGGAAGGTAAACACTCCTTTTTGTAGAAACCCAGGTGCCACTTCCCCACCATATGGGTGGAGTAGCCGAGCTCCTGAAGCCTCTGCGGGAGGGTCACCTGGTCAAAGGGAAGGCAGTTTGGCTGGCGGGGACGGATGATTGAATGCTGGAGACCAGTGTGAATTTGATACCTGCAGAGTTAAACAAAAAACACAAAAAAAACACAAAAATATAAACAACCCATCATAAAAAATTGTCTGAAATGTCAGTTAATTAGAACATGAGAAGAACAAAAACATTTGTAGCACAGGAGCCAGTTTCCTTCTGTAGTCAATGTGTTTGGGCATAAATATAATTTCATGCATGAATGTACACGCCTGTGAAAAAGGATTTCTTATGCTTTCTTAATGACATCTAAAGCAAGATTTTTTTTAAAACTTGAAATTATTTTCTTATGATATCCTGGGTTCTGTGATTTAAGCCTGAACAGAGTACAATAACCTGCAAATGCAGAGTCTTTAAAGATTAAAGCTACAAATCAGATCAAAATATCATCAACATTTTAAAAGATGTAGTTAATTTATGTTAATTCTTTTTACTAGTTGCGATGTCGTGATGTGAATATCATGTGTTACAATGGGTACTTGATGGTGTTTATACATACAACATTTCACTTAACAGAATTTCAGCAAAAACTTCTTGTTTAAATTGACTGACTATAATCCCAATACAGAGTTAGATTAAAGTCAGGGGACTCTACCTGCCAGTGATGAACTGACTTCTGGACGGGGTGCAGATGGGCTGGAGGTAATAATTCTCAAGCTTCACTCCATCTGATGCAAGTTTATCCAGCACTGGTGTCTTGATGTCTGAACCATGGTATCCGATATCATTGAATCCTTGATCATCTGTCATGATGAAGATTATATGAGGTGGTAAGGGGACAGAAGACTTGTCGGTGAGAGTCTGGTCCTGCTCAATTTCTACTTGGTTGGGGCTCATCACATCCCAGCTAAGGTACCCAAGGCTGAGCAGGCTCATCATTGAGAAACCGGTCAGTGCTGTTGTTGCCATGGCTCCTGCGACTGTAGATCATCAGCTTGCTGATATCTTGTATATCGTCACCATATAATTTTACTGCGAAGCCCAAGTTAAGAAAATAAAATCCTCTCAGATACTATGATTGACTCTTAACGAGTGGCAGTGAAGGAATCCAAAGCCAACATAAGCTACACCTCCATCCTCACCAGCTCTCCAAACTGTGTCAGTCCGTTTGAAAGCATTTCACTTTTCCTAGTTGCCTAATTAACCCCGCCTATTTACCTCACTGGCCCTCTAAAATAACATCAGCCTCCCTCCTCCAAAAAGCATACACAGAAGTTTGCCTTCAACCTCCAGGTGTTAATAGTGAATTTACATCTAACATTAACTGTATGAAATCTAGACAATATTCAGGAAAATCAGTGAATTATTGATGAGTTCCTGACACAGGTTTTTATATTTTTTCTTTATTCCATTTTAAATTAAGCTTTAATGCCAAGACAATCCTCTTACACATCCTGCTCTTCGTCTGCAGTTCTTTCCAGTAATCTGATTTCAATTAGCTACACTGCCAACTTTACAAACTGCAACAGGAAAAAAAAAACATCTGACTGAATTTAGCCATTTACAAAGGGTCTACAGAAAAAGACCCTCGCCCAGACAAACTGTGTGGGGGGAGATTTGATCATGAGGGCAGCTGTGGGGCCCCGCAGCCACAATTACAGACACTGTTCCCCACTCTACTGCACAGAACTTGCAAACACTCACCCACTATCCCTTCTGTTTTATGAGTGCTGCAGATGTGAGGAGAGAAACGGAGCAGACTTCTCAGACTCTGATAACATCTCAAAGCAGGATTCAAAGAAAAGTACTTTACAAATCCTTCCAGAGGTCAACAGAAAACAGCAGGACATGTCAGCTGCAGCAAGAGTCAAAGTATTTTTACCAACACATCTGCTCTGTGCAGACAGTCCTCGTGCCATACATGATTTTAGACTATAACCCAGTGAAACACTGTAGAACTGCTCATGGTACACTTGAAATATATGTGCCTATTACAATGTATTCAAGTTAGGAAAAGATTGTCATTCTCTTGTGACAAAAAATAAACTCTGGGATAAAATTGTAATCTAAGTTTCGAAAAGAAACATATATACAAAAAGTGAATGTGGGCAGAATTAAATGATTATCATGTATTGGACTATATACACAATTGTATATATGCAAATGAGTTAAACCGGAGTTCTTGCACAAAAAAAAAAAAAGATTAATAAGAAGCAACTTGTCTTATTGCATAACAGGCTTGGATATGTTTATCTGTGAAATCACTAATTGCATGTTGTACATATGTTACAGCACATCCTCTAGGTCACTGAGGTTAAACATGGTTTACAGAGGGAAAATATTATCTTTTAAAGTTACTAGATAGCAATCACTTTGGAGTGTAAAGCATGCAAAGGTGGGGGCATGGTAAGGCAGGGAGGCAGCATCTTTGTTGCAGTCTTTGATTCCTCAGAGAGAAAAACAAATTTAACTGAGCCTGAAGTTTTATACCATCATATTTATTTATTTACTTTTCCTTGGAGGGGAGGTGGCAGTTTGTAAAAACATATGATAGCCCTTGCAAAAGATTTTGGCAAGACCAAAAGACGGTCTGCCGTGGTGTGTGAAGTTGATGTGGTCATTAAAAGTTGGTTAAAGACAGCTCAGAGGAAACAAAAAGAGAAGGACAGGGAGTCATTTATATCCCTGGGTGGCTTTCAGGCAAAAAAGATTCTGTGTGTTTGAACTCCCACACTTACGAGATGTTGACTCATCTGTTTACTGCTGGTCAGAGGTTTACGGTATACAGTCACTCACAGAAATTATCAGAAGCATGTGCCCATCCACAGCTCACATTGCTCATTTGCTCGTGCTCATTGCTCATTTCCAAAATAATTCCGTTAAGAATCCAACCATCAACCAAGAATAGTGTAATGACGATGGAAAAACTGATCCCACAATGCACCTGGGGTCGAACCGTAACCCAGGAATACTGAATAAACATAATCCTGACTTACTGTAAGTTGTTTACCTTCAGCCAAGAATGAAAATGTCAGAACTGGTCGATATATTTTGTTGACCGCAGCAGTCTAATTCCGGCAACAATCTAACATAAAGTCAGTTTTGTCTTCTTAGTGGAGTTTAAAGTCTGAAAAAGGTCACTCGGGGTCAAAGGTCCCTCACCAGCTAGAGATCCATCTCCCTGACTCTTTTTAAAATCTTTTCATCTTTCGGTGTCTTCAATCCTGTTCCATTGGTGTAAATATTCAGTGTGAGAGTTTCTGTGTGCACAAAAGAAGATTCACACATTTTGAGAAAGAATCCCAAATAGATGGTTACGTTACAAAATCTGAAACAGCATGTTTGATACACATGATGCACATGAAATGTGTAAGATGTATATTTTTATTTGATGCATTGTTTGCTGGTTATTTAGTCCCCTCCCTTGTTTCCAAATTATTTCCCATATATCAACATTTTCTCTGCTCTATCCTTTTTTAAATGGATATATAAAACAAAATTAAAGTTGTTATGTGGTTTCAATGACCTTAGAAAATCTGACATACAACTCTCATGTCTTCAACAGGTTCATGTCAAAAGAGGGCTTCAGTAAAATCATTTAGCTGCACATCCTTATTTGTTTTATCCCTTGAGACTCAGATGAATCATCTCAAACACTCTCACAAACAGAGCTACATCAAATAGAAAAACATTTCCAGCATCTTGTATTTAAATACCTTTCTGAGCAGGCTCCAAACTTGAAGTGAAGCATTATAATAACTTATTAAGAGATGTAAAACTGGCTGGTTGCTGCCAACTCCACTCTGTGTTGGTGTACACCAGATGTTAGCTTTGGCAGAAGAAAGACATGCTGTTACTGATCATGGCTCCATCCCTCCATGATGAACACTAACCCCTTTCTAATCACGGCAGCCCTGCCAGTAAACAAGAATGTCACACCGCCTCTTACCGTAGTTTACTAATCTTAGTAAATTGGATGGAAGCCAGCCTTAAACCTAAACGATTACTACAAGTATATTCAGCATGTCCCTTCCATAACAACAGAACTCCTGTTTCAGAGTTTGCAAGGAATTGTTTTTTTTCATGATGTTCAACCACAATTTATCATTTCAAGTGTCATTTCAGAAACATAAAGACTCCTAGTTAAAAAATCGTGGCAGTTACTGGGTAAAATCAGGGCCCAAATTGAATAATTCAATAAATATCAGCAATGAAACATAAAGTAATAAGAATATTTAGTGAAGATATTCTATGGGATTTGGCATTAAAAGATAGAGAAAGTTTCTGATGTAAAGGTCCTACCAATATCCTGAAAATGCTATGTTAAAGAACAGAAACAATGCTTTGATCTCTAATGTCAGCAGATCAGCAGCTCCGGAAACGGCTATATCTGTCAAAAGTAGAATCATTAAGATCCCCTATCCTGGCAGTAATAGCATTCGTGCATAAGGCCTTAGCAGGTTGAAGCTGGTGATGAAGTCTCAGGGGCAGACTGTGAGTTCTGGACTCAGAGAAAGATGCAAGGTGTGTTTAACTTGGCCCTTGAGGAGCTGCAGCAGCACACGGCCGGTCAAGCCAGTCACAACACTTCATTACAACACTCCTGTAAGGCCACCAGCGTGGACAGCTACAAGTAGCCCAATAATAGAACTGTGTATGAGTGTCCTCGCTTGTTTTGGGTTCCCTTCAGCATTGGTTAATAAAAGTGCTTAACCTCCGGCTTTTTGCTGCTGTACTATGGTGGCAACACTGGCGGGCTGTGACATGCAGCATTTGAAGCTAATTTGTCTGCAGAGTAAGCACAGGTGTGAGCTGCTAAACGTGTGGAATGTAAATCAGATTTATTTGCCGTGAAACAGATTTCCTTTTTAGAGGGGCAACCTGTGCAAATATCCTCATCATTTCAGAGCGTTATAACCTCAATGCCAAGAGAAATGTTCAGTTTCTCTCTTCTAGTTCTAAAAGATTAATACATGTTGGGCTCATTTGCCCAATGTTTATCTGTTTCCTCCTGCAGAAACATTTGATCTGTCACATCAGCACTCAGAGTATAGCCGAGTCAGCCTCATAACCAGCTTGTTAACTGGAACTGGTGGTAGGCAAATGAGGTTAGAGGGTCTGTAGAAGATGGTGAAATCAAGCTTGGTCAGACCCTCCGAGAACTAACATTGAGGTGGGAATACACTCTGGTTCCCCTTCCTGTTTTCTTCTGGTGAAAGGGGCTCTTTCAGTTTCTTAATTTTTGCTTACTCTCCTCTAGTTTGACCCAAGGTCTCACCACTAGCTCTGCTTCCTTGGCAGGCTGTCATACCAACTACCTTTAGTTTCCTCCCAAACCAATCCGAACAAACAAAGGTGCTTTTTTCCAAACACATCTGATAGACAGGAGACTGACCTTCTTGGCAGCTCTGTTTAGCCCACATGATTGGATGGTGTGTGGATTGTCTGGCGATGTGGGCCAGGAATGTTTTTTTAACATGAATGATTTGAGAGGAGAGCTGAACTGGGAAAAACTAATGCCACATGAGAGCGAACTGAAAATTGCACCTGTGGGACAAGAGGTGTAGGTTTATTTTAAGTATTGTAAGTTAATAGTGTACTTTTTTTAAGCGTAAGTAAGTGAACGTGTGCTTTGTGCTTTACATATTTGTCACTATTCTTTTTTTGCACTTTGTTAAATGCATTGAAAGGGAAAAATGTATGTTCTTAGCATGGTATCATTAATAATCTGGCATTATGCAAAACGTCAAACATACAGAAGTCCCAGGACATGCCTTTCCTTTAGTCACATATGAAATGGCAAAAGAACATTCAAAATAATCTACAAGAAACTCACAAGTGTATCACTCCACAAAGCTGAAACAAGACTGGAAGGTAAAGTCTCCTCTGGACTTTAACAGCATTGTTTTTCTCCTTCAGATGTAGAATGGTCAGATCTAAAATTAACACAAACATTTTTTTAAATTCAAACATATCCCAAACTTGCTTTACGAGATGTAAAAAATATTTATTTATCCCGTTCATGTGCCGCGGCACTACAGCTCCCATGATGCACCGTAGCGGTAGAAGGAACTACATCCTGAGGTCAGAGTTGAACATGCGCATTTCAGTTTCGGTGCCTGTGTGCACCATGTGGCAACGTTTCATACGAAAATACCGATCTGGGTAGCTTTGTGTGATTTTTAATCTTAAAGTCCGATTTCCGATCATGTCTGTGAACGCATCCAAGCACGAGCTGAACCAGCTGGTCTACCGCCATTTGAAGGAGCAGGGCTTCCATTCAGCAGCAGCTGAGCTACAGAGACTCAGCCCACAGGTCGACGTTACACACACACACACACACACACACACACTTCTGCTCTCGGAGACTTAAGACCGGTTCACGGTGTTGTAACGCTGCCGTTCGTGTTGTACTTCCGATTCAAAACACTCCGAACAAGTGTGCAATATTAAACCAGGTCGCAGTCCTGTTTGATAGGACTACAGTTCCCCGTAAGTTACATGCGCCTCTCCTGAAAAGTGAAAGTTATCTGTCTTAAGTTTTTATAATAATAATGGCTGCATCACTCTGCATGGTTAAAGTTGAACTAGCAGTTGTGGCTCTTCAGCCCTGTTTGCTGCTGACACCCTTACTGTTGGCCCTCAGGGTGTCCTGAGGTTTTGTGTCTAACTCGCAGGGGGGCGGATTGGTTTGGGCTCTGTGGTGTGTTTGGTCTGCAGCAGGCTGAGGGTAGAAGAATGAGTGGTTTTAGGGTTGTGGCTCATAAGACGGTATACTTTTGGGTAGTATCATTCATCTCTTCACAGCTCTAAACTTCCTGTCACAAAGGTAAAAACAGCTCACGCTACAACAGAGCAACACAAACCCGAGCTAGCTATAACTGTCCAGTCGTTGAGACGGATTCAAACAGGGCTAGATCCAGTCCGAGGCTTCTTCTTCTGGGGCATTTTGAGCATCGTAAAGCGTTTGGATGGCGTTTAAAAAGTGACCGTGGTGCAAATGCAGTGTGCTGTTTCATCAAAAAGTCAGTCCACAATTTGTGGTGCTGGAGCCCTTCTATGACCCTGAGCTCCATATTCAGACTCAAATTCATTAATACAAGATTTTCTATGCTATAAATGTTTGTATTTTTCTTTCATTTTCTTGCAGGAGGAGGAAAACCCATCAGTGTCTTTGTTTGACATCTACCAGGCATGGTTAAGGTGAGCATTCTGTCTTAATAAGTGATTAATGTGTTCATTTGGCTACGTTGACTGTATTCAAGCTGTCTTTTTCATTCCTGATAGTGACTCCAAAAAGAAAAGAGGAAGAACTCCCACAAAAGGTATAACCTGCTCGTTCCCTGTTGTTGTTTTGGTTCGGTTTTTCATTATGTTTCAGATGAATTGTGGCCATGTGGATGTTTTTGTTGGACTGCTCAGCTGCAGGACAGCAGTGCAGTGAAAACATGCACTGAAAGAGGCTGTCTTTTATTGGATCCTGAACATATTTCAGATTTTTGTTGTTGTTACCTGTTTCATTGTTGAATATACAGGACTTAGGTGTATTTGCTTAGGGAAGCGCTCTGTAAACTCGTATTCTGTGCACTTTCACTTCAGACAAGGTCATGCATTTATTGTACCTTACTGAGGATTTTGCATATATGTAAAATATATAAAGCTCATGGCTGGTCCCAACAGGTGCCCAGATAGTGAGGATGTGTTTCAGTTTGCCTTCTGCTTAGTCACAGACGTAGTGGCAGCTTCCGCTTATGGCCTTCATGTTAACAGCAGCAATGTCTCAAACTGTGGGATGAGGAAAGTTTAGATCCTTACGACACATATCTTTCTCTTATCACCCCCAGGCAAAACTACAACACCAAAGAAGAAGACAAACAAACCTGCACAAAAACCCACATCTCTGAAAAAGGTAGAACTTTTTTTTGCCTTTTTATTTCACATTTTGGTCGTTCCCAAACTCAATCAAGGCCCATTTTATGTCTTCTTCTATCAGTCCGTTCCATCAAAAAGCAAAAAAGGTGCCAAAAAACCCACTGAAAATGTCGACAACGCAGAAAAGTCAGAAACCCAAACGACAGAAGAGCGAGCAGCTGCTGGTGGGGATGATTCAGACTCTGACAGCAGTCTGGATGTGGAAAAGTGGAAGAAACTGGTCCAGCAAATGACAGGTAGGAGTGGCTTTAAAAAAGAAAAACAGTCCAGGTGGGGAGAATTATTATTATTTTTTTCATCAATCCAGATTTGATCCAGAGTTAATGTTCACCAGGATCAAGTTTATTAATAAAAGTCTTTAGACTTTAGTGCATCCGCAGGTAAGAGGTGAATGAGGGAAGATTCTCATGTAGGAAAGCAACCAAATGCACATGTGGCAATGTGGAAAATGCTGGAGATGATGAGAGATGAACAGGCAGGGGGGAGGACAACCACAGGACAGCGCTTTGAACAGGCTTGCCGTTGGAAAGAGTGATTTCACACCTCACATAGATGTTCCTTTTCAAGCATTTGTGTCACCTTGCCATATTTTTCTTTGCTCTGTGTCCCCAGAGGATGACATAGTCAAGATGGCAACCATCAACGCTCTGGACTCATCTGCACCCCAACCCATAAAAAAGCGAGTCAGAAAACCACGAGCCAAGCCTCCTGCAAAAAGCGGCGCTTTAGCAGTGGAGGTGCCACCGACACCAGCAAAGAAGACTGACCCCAAGAAAAGTGGGCCAAAAGTGACTGAACATTTGTCATCCTCTGACGGGCTGAGCCAAAAGAAAAACCTCAGCACTGTAGACGAGAAAACGACGTCATCCACGCTGTCACCTGAAAAAAAAACACAAACAGAAATGACTGAGAGCCCTGTAACCCCCAAGAAAGAAGCTTCTGAGTCCGTGTCCCACCCCAAGAAGGAAAAGAAGGAAAATGAAAGAGGTGTAGATGGAAAGGGAAAAGACAGGAAAAAGGAAAGGAAGACAGTCACTGGGCCAGACCTTACTGATAAACCTGTGGAGCTAAATAAAACCACAGAAGAAGTCCCAGGGGAACAAAATGAAACAATCATTTTAAAAACCAGTGAACAACAAAAAAAGCCCAAAAAGAAGAAAAAAGATAAAAGTGATGGTGAAGAAAAGGAAAGCAAAGAAGTAAAGAAGATAAGCACCATGGTGGATGGAGAGGATCAATCAGAAAAAGCAGCCGAAGAAATGAGTGAAAATACAGAGCAGAAACTGAAGGATACAACTGCAGTTATCAGGGAAAAATCAGAGCAGTATGGTGAACACAAGAAAGAAAAGAAGAAGAAAAACAAAGCCAACGTCAAAGGTATTTTAGAGAACTCAACAGAGGAAGTGAAAGAAATGATAGAGGAAAATGATGAAAGCAAAGAAAATTCAGACCAGAGCCATGAGAAAAAGAAGGCAAAGAAGAAAAAAAGGCAAGCTGAAGACAGAGAGGAAAGTCCAGAGGAAGTGGCTGTAGTAAAGAAAGTAAAAAAGAGGAAACGGGAGCATCATGATGTAGACATCTCAGAGAAAATGTTCTGCGCTGGTGAAGACAAAACAGAACTTCCACCTGAAGAAATCAATGAAACGACAGTGCAGATACTCGAGAGCACAACTAATGTTGTCACTGACGACAAGTCAGAGCAAAATGATAAAAAAAGGAAAGGTAAAGAAAAGAAAAACAAAGCCAATAGCATCGAGGAAATACCAGTGGAAACGGTCCCAGAAAAGAAATCAAAAAAGAAGAAACGGGAACATCCTGATGAGGACACTTCCACAGTGAGGGTCGCTGAAGAGAAGGATAAAGATGGTCAGAACGAGGCATCCGAGGTCGATAAGACGGAGGAAAGGCAAGAGCATAAAAATAAAGATCATTCTGTTGATGCTGAACCACTGCCTCCATCATGCCTGGAGGTTGCCACTCCTAAAGAGAAGAAGAAAAGTTAGTAATTGTCTCACTATATTTGTCAGTATGCCAGCAGGAGTTGTTTTTTTTTATATCTATTTCATGACTTTTTGTCATTTCCTCAGAGAAAAGCAAATTAAAACCAGACCAGCTCCCAGAAACGCAGCAAGAGATGGAAGCAGTTTCTTCCCAAGAGGCTACAGAGGCAGAAACCATCCTGACCACACCAGGTGGCACCCACAAAAAGGTACCACGAAAGAGACTTAGAAAAGCTCCACATTAAGGCTGCGACCGCTTTTCCCTGCTGGTAAATGATCTTTTTTGTTCCTTTTCTTTATAGAAAAAGAAGTCTTCCAAGAGCAGAGAGGCCTGATGACATCCGTTCAGATCAATTCAACCTCAGGACAAACCACACATCTGTTCTAAGCATCATGTCACTGGGGTGAAAACTGTAAATAGCAATGGATGTTTTTTTTTTTTTATCTCTGTACAATTTTTTTTTTTTAAGTCACAGCTGTCTTTTTATGAATTGTTATTTTATTGTTTCCTTTTATGGAGTTTTTTTAAAGGTAATGAATGGTCATGGCATTGAGAAAGAGATCCGATGATCAAACTATATTTTTTAGCGTCCATCACAGGAATTTGAGCTGTGGAACTTCTAAACTGATGTACTTCTGTGAACCCTCAGATATTTAACTATAAGCAAAGGAACGATGTCTCATTAAATTCATAATAACCTCTTTTACATTTCACTAAACTATATATTTTGCACCGTCCCTTCTGGGATTTTCCCCAAAAACAATTTTTTTTAAAGAAATAACAAAACATGTATTTTTATGAAATTCAGTTTTGTAAAAGTGTTTTTTTTTCTTATGGACAAATGTATTTGGTGGAATTTTCACAAGTGTATCATACATGATGTTTTTTATATGAATCGAACGGTACGTTTGGTTTCTTTTCTCTGTCTTTGAAATGACCCCCTAGTCCTGCCTCTGGTGTTGCGGTCTGAGAACACTTGAGCATGGCAAAATTGTTTTAACACATGCTTGTATACATGCTTTCCAATCTACTCCATCACATTACCTCATGGATTATTTTGCTGGTTTTATTAGAACTTAGTTGTGGATGTCGCCGGGTTGATGGACGGACTAACGTTTAGGAGTTGTGCTGAGTAGGTCCTCCAGGGGGCGCCGCAGCAGCTCGTGGAAATAAAAAAAAAAAAACAACGAAGAAGAGTTTAACCGTTTGTGGATAAACATGGATACCGTAGCCTGCGCCTAGTGTAAATTGCTAACTTGCACTGGCTTGTCATTTTGTCATTAAAAGTTACTTTAACATGTGGAGGTTAAGAAAGGTTCGCCATAAAGCTGGTCGTCAAATCGACATTTTGGAGGAGTTCAGGCTGAAAAGGCGAGAGCATGAACAAGGTGAAAAACGTTTACAGACACTTTAGCTTAACCTTTTCCACAGAATTGACACACTTTTCACCTACAGATCGTTGCTTGTTTACATTGACTGTGTAGAGAGAATTTAGAGATTACTATTTTCGCTGGCTAACATCGCAACCTGTTATGTGCATAATAAACTGGCCCACAGATCATGTAAAACGTTGATACACTTAAAGGCATCATTCTTTTGAACACTTCAGTTTTAAATCTAATATTTACTGGATTAGTAGTTCTTCCAACTGTTTTCCAGCAGTGAGTAGACACTTAACAGTTAAATATAAAGACGCCTCTCAGATGAAGGATGGTGCGTTGTGCTGTTGGTGTTATTTTAGCCCTGAGACAAGCTCGCAGAGACAGGCAGCTGGTGAGCAAGAGACTTCTTCTGAATGAAGATGAGGAGCAGCCAGAGGAAACTATGGACACAACCTCAAGGGAACAGGTGAGGGGCATGTTTAAAGAGACAGGTTATTCAAATGACAGCTCAATCCAGCATACCGGAAAGCAACTGTTTTCCCAGGATGTGGTCAGTTTATTCCACAAACTTCAGCACGGTGGAGTGGAGAAGGAAGCCCACTTGAAAGTCTTGAGCAAATCCCTGCGGGACCCAGCGGCGCAGCTCACCTTCATAAAGTATGGCAGTTGTCTGAATGTCTCAAATGAGCCTGACTAAGACCCAGGTCAGGATCCCGGGACTCATATCTGTCTGTGCATCCCTTCCTTCTCAGGCAGGAAAACAGTATGCACCTGCTGGTCGGCCTTCTCACCGGCTCTAACGCCCAGTGCCGTCTCCTGGCCGTTCGCTGTCTTCACGAGCTGTCTCACTCGCCCCACAGCAGCGTGGCATCAGCCTGTCTCCCTGCCACGCCCTACCTGCTCACTTACCTGTCAGGCCAGAGCACCAAGTTCACAGTGAGTCCTCATTCACCCAGCCTGCCGCACGCAATGTCTACAGCCGAACACTTCAATGAGTTATTCGCCCCGTGTGTGCACAGGAGCTGTGTCTCTACACATTAGGTAATATATGTCCAGACAGCGAGGGTGTGAGAGAGAAAGTCCTGGCTCAGGGAATTGTACCAGCTCTGGCCAACTGCATAGAGGTGAGCTAAAAATGCTGACCATTGTTCAACATCTCGGTTTTAACAGAGTCAGTCTGTGATGTCAGAACAGCTTTGGCAGACAATTTGTTGGAGTTCTGCTGACTCAGAGTTTGTGTGTCTGTCCAGAACCAGAGACATAACCTGGCAGTGGTGGAGGCTGTGGGCTTCACCCTCTCTCAGCTTCTGCAGACCAAAGCTGCTGCAGAGAAAATAGTGCCGTAAGTGTGCTGAGCACGTAGCAGTCTAAATGTAATTGTTTTTTTTGTTGTATTGGGTTGTACCTTTCTCTCTGCCTGCAGAATGGTTCTGGCCTCTAGTTTACCATCACACTTGTTATCAGCCTTGACTCCTGACCCAGACTTTGGCCTGGCTCCTGCCATTGAGTGTGCCTGGTGTTTACATTACCTAACATGCAGGTTATTGAAGCGTTGTTGGATAATCTCACTATTTGTTGCTCTTTTTTTATGTTGATAATTCGGGACCTAACATTTACTTGTTTTTTCTCTCCTTTTATCAGCTCTGCTGATCACACAAACCTGTTGGCCCAAGGGACCCTAATGCAGTGTAGTTCCCTGTTAGTGACACTAGGTGGTGCTGTGGCCGAGGGAAATAAAGACCAAGGAATTGAGCTGGTGTGTCTCCATTTTCTTTTATCTCTCTTCAATTAAAAATCAACGTTTTATGCTTGACCGCAATCAATTCAATGACAGAATATGGTTTTAAATATTGTATGCAGAGAAATTTATAAAGATTCAACATACGTTATGCATCATGTACTTTGTTTGCTTGTTTCTATGGCATTTTTACTCCTCTGTAACCTCTGAAAAGTATTAAATAAAGCAGCTGTTGTGTTGTTAAAAATACTATCAAAACTGACAGGTTTTTAATTTTTTTATTAAATCATTCCAAACCTTTTGTCCCCTGTAGCTCATCTGTCCTCTGCTGAGATGTGTAGGAAACCTCCTGTCCTCCTGTCGTGTTGAAAATCTCAGCTCTCAAGTGGGTGACATTCACCTAGTGGTTGCCCTGTGTGCGCTGATCCAGGCCTACCTGCACACCCAGCCGGCCTTGGCCAGAGAGACGGCCTGGGTCCTCAACAACCTCACAGGTCTGACACAAATGGCTGAGTCCCTTTCGATCTGTCTGCTGCTCTAACTTTGCTTCTGAAACCACACTGGCTTTGTTTGAGATATCCCTAAATATACTCGATGATAACCCGTATGTGTTTTTCCAGTGGATTCTGGGTTAGTAGTGATTAAAGTCTCGGCTTTCTAGTTGTCTATTCTGATGAGATTCGAGGTGTTGTGTCGTACAGTATCGTTGTGTTCTGCTTCTGCCATGTTTCCTTTTATTTATTTATAACTGTCTGTTCCAGCTCACTCCACAGAATTCTGCTCTGCTCTCTTATCTCTCAACTTGCTGCCCGGTCTGATCCAGCTTCTGCCTTTCTCCCAAGGTATTAACACAATGGTGAGCACACCCTGAGCAAAGATGCTGATATTTATTACTCTATTTTATTTTCTAACCTATTTACAAAAAATAAATCATTCACTATTTTACCTCACTAATCTTTGCTCTCATTTTAAACTTAGGGCCTCAGGATTTTAGCAAATATTGCCCACAAAAAAAAGGAGTTCTGCGTGCTGTTGGCTCAGTCTGGGTTGCTGTCTGCTCTCAGTGACACACTGAAAATGGCCGATCAGGAAATGGTGACCCTCAGTCTGGATGTCCTGTTCATGATGGTAGTTAGCAGTCCGCAGGTGAGCGAGGTCTGCTCAAGCTCCACTGCTGTCTGGGTAAAAAGGTTTGTCTCAGCATCCGACGGAATTCTTTTTTTCCCTCAGGTTGCAGATGAGTTTGTGAGGCAGGGTGGCCTCTCACTTTTAGAAGCCATCCAATACAACAGTGATGGAGAGATAAGAGGAAGGGCAGCGTATCTTCTGAAGCAGCCCTTTTTCTCCAAGTAACAATTCTCAAGAGTAAAGCTTTTCATTTTGTTCATCTTTGTTATGGGTATATTTGTCCTTATTCTTTTAATGGCTTTGTCTAGAGGATTCTGGGTGATTTAGGAAAGCTTTTGTGTTGCAGGTGGAACACAGGAGTTCTCCCTGACCAGACCAGATGATGCACTGATGAAGATGCAGGACAACACGTTTACATTAGATCATCTACGCTCTGGAATCTGTAACTCCAGCAGAGTTTTTTTCATAATTTATAGTTGATAGTTATAACTGAGCTTTGAATGTGATGAAATGTGATAATTCTGTACAGATGAATTATTTTTTAATTCATAACAAATATGTAAAGCCTGTTTACTCAGCCTGGCAGATGAAACTGTAACGACTGTTCTGATGCAAATAAGTTCCTAACAGCACAGAATTATGACCTTACATGACTGTTTAAAAAATTAATCACTGTCTGATTTTGTGTTCAGATTTTGGGGGAATCATGTATTTTTACTATTGAGAGATTTCAAGTGTAGTTTTTGCTATCATTTAATAAATTATCAGATACTTCTTGTAGACTGACTTTTTTTGTTTGATTGTTTGTTTTGTTTTTCCCCGAACATAGAGGTTTTAGCCTGAGACATTTCCAAAATGGTTCTGATCAGTGTCCCATTGTTTATGGTATGAGGTGATACAAAAAGATGGATTTGTTAAAGAAAATACATATAACATTTTAACAAAATCTCCTATGAAACATATATGAACATAAACATTATTATTCTATGTGCTCACTCACCTTCAGAACTTATCAATTTTTTTAAATGATTTTTTATCAGTTGCCATAAAAAGAATTATGACCATTTACGAAATGAGATAAACTTAACTGTGGCCTGGAATACAAACGTTTGCAGCTCTCCTTACAAATTGTTTGCCTTGTTTAATAGTTATAATCATTTTTGTCTTGAGTAGCTTTTCTTCCTTTAAATGCTTTCAGACCATACATTTTAGCATTTTTAACCTTAGCATTTTATTTGGACGTGGTGGCAAAACCCACTGTTCAGAGAACATCCTCAGTTTGGGAATGTCTTGCGTAACCTCAAGCTCCTCCCTTTAATAAAAAAAAAAGAAAAGAAATCTCAGATTTCCACACTTCCTCTTTGCACACACAACATCCCCTTTATCTCTCCCACTGCGTCTTCACATGAAAATCCTTGTGAGTGTTTTCACTTATTGTTTGCCATTGTTTGATACTGATTTTGCATGTAACAGTCAAAAGAGTTCAATCTGATGTGTAACATCTGTTCTGCTGTTAAGCAATCTGCTTTGTAAACTCTTAAAATAGCTTCGTGCTGTGGACAGAGGAAATGCAACAACTTGCATTGACTCTTGTTCTCTCCACCCATACCCAAACACAGCTGTGCATTATATTATAAATGGAGGACACTGTGTCGACAACTAGGGAGAGAACAACTGGAAAAGATGAGAAAGAAGAGGCAGACAACACGGTGCTGATGAACAGCAAGCCACTGCATCGCTTTGTCCAAAGAGAGCCCAGAAGTCTCGGGGTAATGCGTCTACTTGTAGATAAATGCAACAGGTCAGCTGGAATTGCTCACGTTCAGCCATGCTTTCTGTTCTTCCTGCAGATCGTCATGCTGATGTCCGGCTGTGCTGAGCTGATGATGGGGTTTATACTGGCTGGTGTCTCTGAGTGGACGTCTTACAAAATCTATATCCCCTTCTGGCAGGGAGCTCTGGTACACAACCACTCTTCTGGCTAGATTTGTTCCTATTTGCACTGACACAATGTACATTTAATTGTTTTAAAATAATTGAAATGAAAGTAGAGTAGTAGTAGAGTTGGTTAGCTTCAGTTGTTCTTGTAAGAGGATAAATACTGCTGTTTTTTGTCTTTGTTACATGTTTCTGGCAGTGTATGCCTTTTTGCTGAGGACAAACATTACAGTATGGACAAAATACTAGCCTATTTCTGTTGGCATCCAACGACGTCAAATGCTCACAGATTTTGAGTTTAACATTGAAGTAGCCAAGACAATATGCTGTTCATTTGACGTGTACAGGCAGCGATAATATAGACGCACCAAGGACTGATGTACTTTTGAATTCTCTTTATAAATTTTCACACATGAAATTTCTATATTTAAAACAAGTAGCTCAGGCCATCTCCTGAGTGTTGAATTATGAACTCTGTTTTAGGGTTTCCAACAGTGACCGATCACGTCTTTCTTTAGTGAATGTTTATGCTGGTTCCCTGGCATTTCTAAAATTATGCTAAGGCTTCAATGTGAGTAAACATGAGTATTCATTATAAAAAAGCAAGTTTGAACTTTTTTGGGAGCTTGTATTTTCTTGAACACTTTTCATCAAAAAGCTCACTAGTAGCGTTATGCAAGGAGGCACAAACTCTCCATTTTTCTGTTACATCATCCATCTGTATACCAACACATATATATTCAAACATCATAATATGCTTTGACAACTCAAATAGCGATAAATCCAGCTGTGTTGTTCAACACATTCTGGTTATTTTGTTTTTTTCTTTGTTACAAGTTTCTCATCTGTGGAATCCTGTCAGTCTACACTGAGTTACAACCTTCCAAGAGGATGGTAAGTCTGCTCCTTTGATCCTCTAGTCGCAGGCCTTTTTCTGACAGAAGACGTAACCTGAAAGAACATGAAAAAGTAGTAGGCCAGCACCCCTTTTTCTTTGTGCTTTCTTTTAAACATGGCATAACATTTGCCTCTACACCATTTCCCAGGTGACTGTGTGTCTGGCCATGTATGTGGTCACCCTCTTGGGAGTGTTAGTCTCCTTTGGCTACAGGGGATATTGCTTCGGATGGCTTAGTTACAGGTACCATGGTAGCTCTCGCTTCCACATTGTGAGTTTCAAACCTTCGTCCTTTCTTTCGATGGCTAAATGGAACTAAACAAATTCACTTGAATGACATGACTGACACCCCCTTTAACTTTCTTTTGTAGGGACAGACTCTTGGTGTTGAGATCGTATTGTTATTTTTCTCAATATGCGTGTCAGCAATCCTCATCTTCTTGATTGTTGTTGCACGTTTCGCCCTGAAATCCACACGCACTCAGGTAATTTTTAAAATCACTTTTATGTTATAGAAAACTATTGTTCTTCTTTACAGCGCACAGGACAAAATACAGAAATACCGCATTATGTTAAGCAAAAGGAAATGTAGCAATGTTAACCAAACTAAAAAGAGACTTTTGAGAAGAGATATTTAATCAGCTGTCAATATTCCAAATAGCTTTTCTTTTTTTTTTATAAGGAATGTAAAATAAGAAATGTATAAATAAACCCCCTGAAATATCAGCACCCAAAAGAACTGACTTTGTGTTTCTCTTTAATTGACTTGCTTCTTATTGTTCTCTTTCTCTGTCAACAGGTCATTGTTCATCACATTCCCTTACCCCGGAATGGCACGCCAGCAGACTGAGATCAGATTATTATCATTTTAATCTACGTTCACTGACACTGTTTTTCCTGCAGCTTTATCTTCTTTTTTCTTTTACTGTGTACTAAGGTTTTTTAAAACCCTGTGAAATTTGTCTAACTATGTATAGTTTCTAAACGTCATGCTGCCTTGGAGTCATGTATTGTGAATTATGCATTATGCAAAGACTATCTTGAAGGTTATTTCTTTTATATTTTATGTTATTTGACTGATTTCAGATATTACAGCAACATATGTGACATGATATCACTCAATATTAGTAAAGTTGTTCTAATCTATTTGATCCAACACATTTCACCAGAAAGAGATATTTTCTGTATCTGCTCATTACTTATATGGTATATATCACAAATATCTCCACTTAATAAAACTTTAATGAAAGCTTGTTGCTTTTGTATGAAAGCCCATTTCCGCCATGAAAGAAAAAAATTAAAGCCCAACAAAAGTAATAATTTAGACTTTTATAGCCATTGTTTTGATTTTTAAAGTGATAATTATGAGATTCAAGGTCACTCACTGAAAAGAAATAGTTTCCTTTGAATTCTTTTTTGTGTGCCAAACCATTTTTAACCTCCCTGACTGGGACAGTACCATCCTGACACGGCAATCCCCCTGTGTATAGATCAGTAGACAACGGGCAAGATGGACACTAATGTCTGTTGCTTCATTCACCAGTAACTCTTTCTTTTCTGTTATTAAAGAATGATACACTAGTTTAATTTTTGACTGACAATTCTGCCTTTTCCGGCAGTTTCAAGACAAACCTTTAGCTCTGCAAATGGGACAAATGAACACGAACTGCAATAAAGTCAAACATTTTAAGGCCTTAATTTATTTCCAGTCTTCAAGTAGACAAACAGTAGGTTAACATCATTTGGAAGTCCCCCGCAGGACATCAAGCCGAGGGCGGTCATATTTGGTCCGTGTGTGGTTCGCGTGTTCACAGTATTTAATAGACATAGCTGGCAGTGTACAGAGACTGCATGGAGGCCTGGTCGGCTGAGCCGGATGGCTTGTACTCTCCTTTGGAAGCCAGGCCGTTGATCTGAAGGGAGAAGAGAGGAGATGAGAAGGGTACGGTGAAACGGGAGGGTTAATGATCAGCTGAGTACCAGGGGCTGTACGCTTTAAAGAATCAATCATTTACCAGGCAGCATGGTAGTTGGGTAATAGGAGATAAGAATGATTCAAGAGGACTGTGCTCAGTCCACAGCAACAAACTGATAGGAGTGAACAGCTTAATCTTGTCCACTCATCTTTGGTGATGACCGCTAAGGCTCACCTTGGCCCTGTTGCAGAAAGCTTCCTGTGCGGCGCCCTTATTGGCGGCTTTGCCCTGCCAGGCTGCGAGAGCAGAGGCCTGGAGCGCACGGCCATAGGAGAAAGTCAGCTTCCATGGGCGGTGGAGGGGCACTTGGTTTATAGCGTTCAGGTTGAGGGACGCTTCCTCCTCACTCTGGCCTCCAGACAGGAAGCAGATGCCTGCAAAGAGAAGGAAACGTCTCCATACAGCTCTTAAATTGATTTCTTATCAGGACAAGCTGAGACATAGATACTCACCAGGGACTGAAGCTGGGACAGTGCGCCTCAGAGCAGTTACTGTAGCCATGCCAACCTCCTGAGGGGTGAACTTCTTGGTGCAGGAGTGTCCAGCCGTGACCATGTTGGGCTTCAGCAGAGTGCCCTCCAGGTAGACGTGGTGGTCAGACAGCGCCTTGTACACAGCAGCCAGGACCTGACGGGAAAGCGGGCAGGTGGGTCATTAGGCATTTGACCCACGGGCTTAGAAGAACTTTCTTGCGTCGTTATCGTGCTCCGCTTACCTTCTCTGTGACATACTGGCAGCGCTGCAGGTCGTGGGCCCCGTCGGGAAGGATCTCTGGCTCCACAATGGGCACCAGGCCATTCTAGAGGACGCAAATGTAGATGAATGAGTCCCAGCTTTTACGGCCATTTGGTCGACCTGGACATAAGGTAAAAGTGGGACGCGCACCTGTTGGCAGATGCTGGCATATCTGGCAAGGACATTGGCGTTTTCTGCGATGGCGAGAGCCGATGGGCAGCCGTCCGAGATCTTGAGCACGCACCTCCACTTGGCGAAGTCGCAGCCGTCTTTCTTATACTGGGCGCAGCGCTCCGACAGCCCATCCAGACCTAAACCAGCCAATCAGCGGTTAGCTTCTGCAGAGCAATGCAGATACAACTGAAAACAATTACTTTATTTCTTTTTGTTTTACCTTGTGTGGTGGTCTCTCCGTCTGTTCCGTTCAGACCAGCTGTGCCTTTGTCCACCTACATAAAAAAATAAACCAGAAATTCTCAGGAGATGTCACCATGGTGTATTTAAATAAAAAATAGCTTTCGGCAGCCTCCTCACCTTGATTCCAACGACGATGCCCTTCTCCTTGACCACCTGGGGGAAAAGCTTGCCGCTGTCCGATTTCTGGTAGAGAGTCTCGTGGAAGAAGATGACCCCGCCCACACTGTTTGCAATTGAGGGATTCGAGGAGAAAAGGAGCTCACGGAAGCAGCGACGGTTCTCCTCCGTGTTCTCCACATTGATTTTCTGCAGGCGCTTTCCCATGGTGCCTTAACAGAGGAGCATGCAGGTGCTTCTTCAGCTGCAGACCGCGGACACACCTTACGATCCAATAATAACGGAGAGTGAGGCTCACCTGTGGATTCATCTGCAGCCAGGATTCCCTTTCCTGGAGCCACGATTCTCTGAGCAATGTCAGAGAGCTCCTTCTTCTGCTCCGGAGACAGGGATGGAAACTGATGAGTCATCCTGATGAAGACAAAAAGGTTATTTGGCAAGTGTTAAAGAACAAGAAAGAAAACCTTCAGTTATGAGGAAGAGCTGATCGCTTTCTCTCCAACTCTGCATCCGAGATCCTGCTTTTCTTGCAACGCCTCTGCAGGTAAATATTTGGCCTGCATGGTTGAACTTTGGTCTTTAATACTGATAAGAACTGGCTATCAAGGTGAAAAATGATCTAACCTGTTTGTCTCAAGTTCATCCACTGCTTTCTGCAGAGGAATGGACCGAAGAGAGCCTCTAATCAAAGTTCAATTTGAGGGAATTTCACCATTTCAATGTATTAAATGCCCATGAACTTCGGGTTGCATGAACCTATTTCCACTGATCAGCAGGAGATACATGATGGCAATTTGCTACAGTGCCTCCCACAATGAAAAATTTGAAAGAAACGTAATATATATCTTTATGGATATCTCAATCAGACTTAAAATCTTAACAATGCAGTTAAATCCGTGTGAAACGCGAAAAAACCCAGACATATAAACTAGTCCTGCAAAAATCAACATTACAGGTTTCTGCAGGACAACTTTTTGCAAAGCAAAGAAAAAAAGATCAAACTCATTCTTACTTGAGACTTTGGTCAAAGAGCGACGACGGTAAAAGTGACAGACGGACCCCGTGGCCTCCCAAAGGCGATCGGAATGATGAAGAAGGAAGAGTGTTTTTGAAAAGCTGTTTTTATTCCCTGCTCGGTCAGTGGGGGAGGTGCTCGTGATGTGGCGGGGGCGGTTGTCCCCCGTGGTAACACAATTGGCCCAGTCAGGCTCTCCGGGGCGGATCTGACGGTGTTGCATCGGTGAACTTTATAGTTTATGTCAGGATTGAGCTCTGTGCATGCAAGAGAACGCAGTGTGATTTAAAAATCGATGTCCACTCAAGTGATCTGATGATTACCCCACCCCACCCCCCTCCCCACACACACACACAAGTGCTTTTGCAGCACTTTGAGGAATGTTGAAATATAACCAGAGGCATGCTGCAAAGTTGTAGTTCTGGTTTGTGTACTTCTCTTGCTGCTCTTGCTTGTGAAAAGATATAGCCTTCTTTTATAAGCTCGCAAGACAATTTCAATACTTTTCCCCCCAAGTATTTGTGACTCTTGTTTACCTGAAACAGTCTTGTTTAAGTCATTATAGATACAAAAATGTCCCAAAGTTATTTTAGTGACACCTGCTTTTTTGTTGCACATTGCACAACTTGCAACAGAACTTGTTCAACAGAACAGCAGCAGATGTTTTGTACGTATATGATACTTAAACTGTACAATTTGTTTTTGTACGATTGTTAATCACCCGTTTAGCAGCTAATATTTTTGTACTTTTGTATGTATTATTGTAAAACACACTGAATACAAAATAGAATACTCTGGGTATTCTATTACGTTGATTTGGATCAAAGGCTGCTATTCACACTAACTTTTGTATCTTCTTCATGCGTCACACTCCTCTCTGATCACGTCATGGATTGATAGTTTCCACATTGATCACTGACGCTGGACCAAAGTTTAAAGGGGGAGTTTAAGGTTAGCCCCCTTCCATGGCCAGCATGGAGACCCCCGGCTTGGCCGTGTCTGTGAGTTACAACCAATGCTGAGCCAGCTTTTGCACAACCTGGACTCTGCACCCTGCGCAACAGCCCATTTGATTTTACAGATCAGAGTTCAGTGTTTCTTCCACATTGATTTTTAGACAAGTCTAAAAAGAACCAAGCAAGGAGCACAGTGGATATTTTCCCAAAGAATACAAGTATGTGAGGCTGACCAAAGAGATTACTCATGTTTTAGTTGATTCAATGTGCCAAAGCTCCAAAACACTGTTGGAGTGAAAAGTGGGACAATGTTACTTTGATAAACACTGTCAAGAGTTTGGAATTTCAATTTCAGAGATATTGTCAGTATGTAAAAATTGGGTTAAGAACTCGGAAAATCCAAATCATACTCGCACCATACACATAATTCTGTATCTGCGTTTTTCTTTGGTCAAAACTATGAAAGCTGATGAGCAGCTGATATTGAGGGTCTCTGACCCCTAAATGCTTTAAGCAAACTGGAAATTCTGACATTTTTACCACTAACTAGCAAAAAAGATAATGTATCACCATGCAAACTGCTGGCCTTACCATGTGAAAGAGTCGTGGACTTTTAAACTCTTGACATAGCAGGATCAGATTAACTGGTTAGTTAGGTGTCAAAGGTTCCCTTTGTGTCTGCAAAAAAGATTAGATTATCTATTGTTTAAGGGTAGTCTTAAAAGGGGATTTAAGAGCATACTCAAATTTTATAATCGTTAAAAAGTTCAGCAAAATTGCAAATACATTGTTGAGCTGTGCTGGTAGTTTCAATACAGTTTTTTTTTTATGTGTTTGAATGAATGGTTTGTAAATCGAAGAAATGTCTAAAGCATCAGAGTTTTGTCTGGAATCCGTGCATAAGTACAGTACGTGGTTCAATCTGTTTATATGCAGTTTATATTTGAGGCGCTTGTTTCCCTCCGAGACAGCAGGGGGCGCACTGTCAGGGCAGGGTTGTGCCCTCGGGAGCGTGGACACTTCCGTTTCCGAGAGGCAAGGAGCCGCAACATCAACATCCACAGACAGATTAAGTTAATTACTTATCACCAAAATTGGTAAGATTTCGATGAGCTGTTTTCGTCGTAGACTGTGAGGCAGAGTTCCTCAGCCGGCTCAAAATCCAACTGCTTTGAATCGGGAACTGGTGCTAGCTAATAGCTAACGCTAGCCTATCCTTATATTGACTGATTCATTCAGCTACCTCAGCGTTTAATTTATATTCATATGTGTAAAAGTTTGGTAAAACATTTGAAAATAAACATTAAGGACTTAGTGATTCGTCGCTTTACTACACGCGTTTGAATTCCCACTTACTATCTGCTTTTTTCCCCCTCCCCCGATTCTGTTTGTTTCAGGAGTCTGAGGATGTCGGGACAAAAGCGTCCTGCGGACTCCACCGGGGCCTCGTCCTCCGGTGCCCCCCCAGAGAAGCGCAGGGAGAGGGAGGGAGAGGACGGAGGGCCCGGTGTCAGCGCCGGTGCTGGGGGAAGCACCGCGGTGGAAACGGTCATCAAACTGGGAGGGGTGTCTAACTCTGTGAGACTTCTTTCATTGCCATTCAGTCATATGTATTAATGATGTTTATTGAAAATACAAAACAAATCTAGCTTTTTCCCCCTAATTCTGGTTATGTGTGATTTAAAAAATATGTCTTTCCCCTTTATTTCAGGAGGAACAAGACATCAAAGCGCTCCAAACTAAGAACAGAAAGTTGGGAGAATCTCTTGATCAACGACAGGTGACTTTAGTCTCAGTTGTTTTTCAGAAACAGTTAAATCTGCTGTGATGATATTTTTTAACAATGTGAGAGTTTAATCTATTGGCCCCTTTATTTTGCAGGTGATTGAAGACGAATTGAGAGAGCGAATCGAAAGACTGGAGACCCGTCAGGCCACGGATGATGCCAGCCTGTTGATACTCAACAGATACTGGAACCAGGTGAGGCTTTACACACGGAAGCAGTAGCTCAGCATTCACAGCTTTCTTTGAAGAAATATTAGCCAAAACGAATGCAGCATGTTAATGTGTTTTATTTTGTTGTTGTCTGTGTGTAAATTGTGTTATTATGTGGTTGGTCTTAAAACTCAACCAGTATGCTCTCTCTTTCAGTTTGATGAAAATATTCGGCTGATCATCAGGCGCTATGAACAAGTGAGCAGCGAGGCAGAGAAATCCCCATCAGGGGAGGGACGGAGTCTGAAGCCTGAAACTCCAGAACCCGATGGTGACTCCAACCAGGAGAGGGCCAAAGACAGAGGTGAAAACAGCCAGATACGGGAACGGGAATACAACCGCATAATGAGCCCCGTTTAACCAAAGGAAGACAAAAAAGAATCTGAACTCGAAGCCAAATCCTCATTTCCTCTGTTCACCGCTCAGGCCACCAGGGAGAAACCTCCAATTCCTTTCTGGCCACGTTGGCGAGCAGCACCAGTGATGAGATGGAGGCAGAGCTCCAGGAGAGGGTGGAGTCCAGCCAGAAACAGGCCAGTCGTGTGGTGGAGATCTACCAGAGTCTGAAGAGCACCGTGGAGCTGCTCAAAGCCGAGGCTGAATCTGGTAGATCAGGTGAGCTTCTGGGCAGGGAGGCCACATTAGCACCGGGGGACCACTGAAGATCCCACGCATGCAACGACAAATAATTCCACTTGCTTTTCCTCTCAGAGGGCAGTTTGTGGCAGGAAGCTTCCAAGCTGAACTCCCTGCTGACCTGTGAAAATGAACGGCTTCAACAGCTGACGGAGGACCTGAAGCAGAAGCACAGTCACATGACCAGCGAGGTAGACATTTCATGTCCTTTATCTCTGTTAAATGATAATAACTTCTCTTTTTGTACTGAACTGACAGCTGCTGTTTATGGCAGAGTGTGTGCATCTTAAATTGTTGGCTTGTTTATGTAAAACTGTTGTGATGATAATGATCCCGTCCTGTCTCCTGACTTTGGTGGGATATTTTTCTGTGGTTTTATTCAGTTACCCGTCTGTTAGGGTGTTTTATTTGAGGGTTCTGTGTTCTGGTCAGGTCTTTTCATTGTCCCTCTGTGTCTTCCTGTCCTGTCCAGTCCCGGTCACTGGGCCGGGCCGCCAACAAAGCAGACCAGCGGGTCAGCGAGCTGCAGGCTCGCATCGAGGAGCTCCAGTGGGACATGGAGAAGATCCGCCGCCGGGAGAACAGGTTGAACGCACACCTGAGCGAGATTCTGGAGAGGGTGAGCGTGACGATGGGCTTTGGTTTGTGTCAGAGTGGAAGTGTGTAGTAACCCCCCCCCCGGTCTCCCCAGGTGAACAGCAAAGGCTACAAAGTGTGCGGGGAAGCCAGCAGTGTGTGTGGAACCATCACCATTAACAAAAGAAAGGTCGGTTCCCTTTTTTATTTTTTTGCTGATGAACGCAAAATCTGTCAGGGGAAAGATGCCAGTTTCTAGACTTCAAAAGTTCTTTTATCGGCACAGTTTGAAGAAATGAACAGCGAGCTGGAGGAGAACAGGGAGCTGGCAGACAACCGCCTCATCGAGCTGCAGAAGCTCCAGCAGGACCTGCAAAATGTTCAGCAGGAGAACAACGGCATGAAGGTATTTCCAGCCAACACAGCTGCGCCTATGCTGCTCTGAACGCTGACGGCCGCCACACTTTGCGTAACCTTACAGTTTCAAACTGAAGGACGTCGCTATCAAAGTTACACGGCATCACAAATCAACACGGTGAAACAGGGACGTGGGTCCTAACCCCAAAATCTGTCCCTCCAACATATTCCATCTGGATAAAAACGACTCATTAAGCACATTACTCTGCTGAATATTTGTTCCCCGTTGTGTGTTTTTTGTTTCCTCCCTCAGACGGAGCTGCTGACTCGGGCTGAGGGTTTGGTCAAAGAGACGTCCGAGTTCCGCTGTCTGCAGTCGCAGTTTTCGGTGCTCTACAACGAGTCGCTGATCCTCAAGTCCCAGTTGGACGAGACGCGCGCTCGCCTCAACACCACCAGGACGGCGCGGCTCCGGCAGCTGGAGCACATGGAGGTGCGGCACGGCGCCTGCAGCCGCACGCCCGCCCATCCGGATTCCCCCTTTTTTTGCTCACTCTGGTCTCCTCTGAGCGCAGAACGATGAGGTGGCCCTGCAGAGGAAGGTTCGCACGGAGGTGTTTCAGCTGGAGGACACGCTGGCTCAGGTCAAGAAGGAGTACGAGATGCTGCGCATCGAATTCGAACAGACTCTCGCCGCCAACGAGCAAGCAGGTCAGCCGCGTGGTTTCTGGCGACCGGCCGGTACGGTGCCCAGCCGCCCCCCCCCCCACTCTTAACGCTCCCCCCTGCCCTCAGGTCCCATCAACAGGGAGATGCGTCACCTGATAAGCACACTGCAAACCCAGAACCAGCAGCTGAAGGGAGAGGTGGTGAAGTACAAGCTGAGACTGAGAGAGACGCAAGCTGAGCTCAACCAGGTAGGAGAGGCGGAAACCAAAGGCCACGGCTGACGCAGAGATGCTGCCACGTTGGGTGGTTTTACAGTACTGAACGCGTCTAGGCAGAAAAAGTCAGCGCAGTCGCACTGAACGGCATCCGTTTGATGTGTAGGTCCGCATTTCAAAGGGCAGCGCCATCCTCCAATCGCAGTCCAGCACAGAGATGGACGCCAAGGATGAGATGATCTCTCCATCCGCGCTGGCCGTTTCCGGGGAACCCACGGTCAAAGCAGAGCCCGACAACGGCTCCTCCACACCCAGCAGCACCGGTACCGAGCGCTGACCAAGACCTAAAAGCTCTTCTCTGACTACGATAGAAATGACTTCTCAATCTCTTGAGAGAACACAGCTGGATTCCCCTGACTGACGTTTTTGTTTGTTTGTGTGACTGTCTCTCTGAAGGGGCCTCGGTTAAAACGGAGCCTGGTGTAGAAACCGAGGCGAGCGTAAAGGAAGAGGAGAAGGAGGAGAAGAAAGAGAAGGAGGAGAAGAAAGAAAAAGAGATTATAAAGAAAGAGGAGAAAGAAAGGGAACGGGAGAAAGAAAAGGAAAGGGAGAAGCCCAGCCGGAGCAGCGGGAGCAGCAGCAGCACCCTGATGAAGGAGGAGAAGGAGAAGCCGGGGAGCAGCGGGCAGGCGGAGGAGTCGGCCGGGGAGCGCCTGTCCATGGTCGGCGGGTCCAAGAGGAAGGAGATGGAGCAGCTGAAAATCGTCCGAGCTGAACTGAAGTATGTGTGGAAAGAAAAGACATGACACAGGGCACCCACTTATTTATTTTTTAGATCAGAGCAAGTGATACAGCTGTCAGACAGCTGACCAGATCGTCTTAGAAGGGTTAGAAGTGTCTTTTGTGCCCGGTGCCGTGCTCTCTGCCGGTCATTTTTTAGTTGTTTTAACTTCGAAATGAGGCGAAGGTGCAGGCTTTAGCGACATCCCTCACTCACTGTGTCTGCACAGGAAAGCGCAGGAGTCCCAGAGGGAGATGAAGCTGCTGCTGGACATGTACCGCTCAGCGCCCAAAGAGCAGAGGGACAAAGTTCAGCTCATGGCTGCCGAGAAGAAGACAAAGTCAGAGGTGACCGAGAAGCAAATGGAGATACTTGTGTTGTGTTTTTTAGACACGTTTTTCTGTTGTTGACTTGTTTTTAAGATTAGAGGTAGGCGGTTGTTTGCACAAAAAAAACAAAAGCTGCCAGTGACAAGTCTCTAATGTAATGTAAGAATAATTAACTCCCCCTTCAGGGAGAGGAGCTGCGGCAGAGGCTGAGAGAACTGGAGGAGAGGGAGAGGAGGGAAGGCAAAAAAATGGCCGACGAAGAGGCTCTGAGGAAGATCCGATCTGTGGAGGAGCAGATCGACACCCTGAACAAGAAGCTGTCTATCGCTAAGCAGGTGGGTGAGCAGCCCCCGTTTTTATGCGGCTGGCAGCCGGTGAGCACCCTCCAAACCCCCCCCCTCTGCCACGCCCCATCGGCAGGAGGAGGACGCGCTGCTGAGCGAGATGGACGTGACGGGGCAGGCCTTTGAGGACATGCAGGAACAGAACATCCGCCTCATGCAGCAGCTCCGCGAAAAGGACGACGCCAACTTCAAACTGATGAGCGAGCGGATCAAGTCCAACCAGATCCACAAGCTCCTGAAAGAGGAGAAGGAGGAGCTCGCCGACCAGCTCCTCACTCTAAAAACTCAGGTGAGCCACCAGGCCGCGCACAGTGCCCCACAGCAGCTTTAAATTCAAAAGCATCTGTGTCATTTTCATTTAGCGATAGTCTTTTGCTGCGTTCAAGTTCTAGCCGGCCTCTAACTTTGACTTCCTTTACTTGTGCTGTATTTATTTGTGTAAACCTTCATGTAAGGAGCCTTTCTGTGACCCCACAGGTGGACGCACAGCTGCAGGTGGTGAGGAAGCTGGAGGAGAAGGAGCGCCTCCTGCAGGGCACCATCAACGCTGCAGAGAGAGAGCTGTCGCTTCGAACCCAAGCTCTGGACATGAACAAACGCAAGGTGAGGCCCCGCCGAGCTGCGGGGAGCCCCCGCTGCCAGGCAGCCCCCCCCCCACTCCTCTAAAGAACACTCTCCCCCCCGTCCTGCAGGCTCAGGAGTCTGCTCTGCAGTCAGAGGAGCTGAGGACCCAGATGGAGCAGGTCCAGCAGAGGCTCAAACTGGTCAGGGAAGAGGTCATCGAGAACAGCATTTCCAGGGAAAAGGAGTCCTTCAACGCCCGGCGAGCACAGGTGAGGAGGCTGGCAACGCATTTAGGATGCTGGTTACCCCTCCATTAACGTCACCCTCCTACAGCCCTCACATATAGTAAAGACCATATTTGGACAAAACTGTTCATATAAAATGTTTTTTAATCTTTCTCTTTAAAATACATACATACAAAATAACCACTACAAATAAATACAGACAATAAGCAAAAAAAAGACAAAAAAAAGGGTACGATTATTTGTATTTACACCTTTACACTTTCTATATATTTTCAATCTTTTTTGTTTTGTTTTTTTATTTACATTTACCCAGATAGCGCCTGTCAAACATTTAGATTTACGTGTCTCCATGGTTTTGTCGGTTCAGCGGCAGGCAGGAGGGGAAACCCTCAAAGGGACTTACTATTATTACAGCGACCCCGGTTTTCAGTCTTTGTGGCACACAAGGAGCTTCACTCTCCAGGAATCACAACCACAAGAGTGTCCAGGAGGTTTCCTGTCAGTGTGGCAGAGGGACTGTTCCTCACAGCTGTTCTCGTGTTGCAGGAGGACATCTCCAAACTTAGGAGAAAGATTGAAAAGGCCAAGAAACCAGCCGAGAAAATCAGCAGCGGAGACGAGATCCTCAACGAGGAGATTAGTGAATACAAGGTACGTTCCTGGGGAACAAAGTGCAAAAAGGACTGCCTGCTTCTGTTCAAGCTTCTCCACAATAGCGGGAATGTGGAATCTCTTTGAAAACATTAGGTCGATGTGCTTATACTGTTGTTTGTGCTTCGTTAATAAGGATTTGGGGGCTGTGTAAGAGGCTCAATTAAAGTTCTGATGCAGCACAAAGCTGTATATTTTTTTTAAAAGTAGATTTTTAGCTGGAATTAGATTTTTTAGAGATCTTTTTAACAAGCAGTTTGAATCTATTGATTCCGGTTTTGGTGCCAATCTAACAAAGTTCAGGCCGTAAACTGTTAAGCAGGACAGCAGAATGGATTTTCTCATCTAACTCTGAAAGACTGCACGCCTGCAGCTAAGGCTTCTTCCTCTCCTTGGAATTTTGGAACTTAAACGTGAATTTAAGCTTGCGGTCCGTCCTCAGTTTGAAAACGGGCCGATCCGGTCCCGCAGTTTGAGTGCCTTTTGGGCCCAACCCATCGGTGAAAGATGCTGACAGCTTTAGAGCTCTCGCTCTCTGTTCAGCGCAGGAACAGGGTGGTTTTCCACCTGAATTGCGAGCTTGCTGAAACTTGAGCAGTGGTTTCCATTTTTCCACATTTTATCATAAAGTAGCCTGTCGTTTTTTTGTTTCTCTAGTTTTGGGTGGTGTGAGAGTTTTCAGAACCATCTTTGCTTTCCATGATTTAAGCATCAGGTGTAGTCGGAAGCTGGTGCTTCTGGCCTCTGTATTTGTGTTAGCTGGAACATTCAGCAGAGGACAGAAATGACTCGCTGGTTTATTGCCCTCTCCCTCCGACCCCCCAGGCCCGCCTCACATGTCCCTGCTGCAACTCCCGGGTGAAGGATGCTGTCCTGACCAAGTGCTTCCACGTCTTCTGCTTCGAGTGCGTCAAGACGCGCTACGACACCCGGCAGAGGAAGTGCCCCAAGTGCAACGCCGCCTTCGGAGCCAACGACTTCCATCGCATCTACATCGGCTGAGTGGGGGCCCCCCCCCCCCCCCCCTCTGCTCGGGACGGAGAGGAAGGGGGTCAGCGAGACGAGCGGCGGTACAAACTCTGCCTGGAGCCAGACTCCGCTCCGCACTCGTGTGCCGCCTCCTGTCGTAGGAGGTTGTTAGCGGGACGTCACATGACAGTTTCAGAGATGCTCTGAACACAAGACTTTATATCTTTCTTTCTTTCAAACAATGACTGAAGCCCCCCCCCCCCCTTCCTTCTATCCACTTTCCTACATTTCTGTTCTTTGGCGCAGAAAGAGTGGTTGCATCCCATCCCGAGGCTTAAAGTGTCTGTGTGTGTGAGTGTGTGTGTGTTGACATTTGAAAACGTACAAAGAAAAAGGCAAAAGCAGGGAGACCAAGCTGTGGATGTTTATTTTATCTTGTGTGTCTGTATGTTGTAAATGTGCTTATCTTTTACTTAAATCTGAACTCGCCCTCTAATTTTGCCTCTTTGTTTAACATGCCTTGATTTGTTGCGGTAGAATTACTGGTCCTGCTAGTTATTAAACTGATCTAATCTAAATATAAAAAATACCAAAAAAAAGACTCCTGCCTCTCTTTTCTCTCGTTTGTGGAGACTGAAACCATGTGAGTAATCTTAACATTTGTCTTGGGTTCTTAAACCACAAGTCCCAGTGTGCAAATCTCTGTTTATCCCTGTGCCACAGTTGCTCCCTCCCCCATTTCCTCCCCCTCTTCCTCCTCCTCCTCCTCCGCCCCGCAGCTCCACACGTATTTATATAGTGGGACTAGTCGTTAGAAAAACGCTGGAAGGAAGGGAGTAACAAGGGAGGGATTTTCTTAAAAAAAAAAGAAAAAAAAAACCTTGTGCAACATAATCCTTCGCAGCAGTGAATTTGATGCCAGATCGGGGACAAAGGAGCAGCAAAGTTGCGCGGTGAGCAGCTCCGGGCTGGAATAAGAGGCTTTAACGCACTGGCGCTGGCGGCGTCAGCCACGTTTCCTCACACATTTGAACGGGAAACTGGGATTTTCTGCAAGCACGGCGTTTTGACAGGGAACTTCTCGTTGCGTCCTAACTGATGATTTTATATTTGGACCCGTGCTGTCAGCCTGTAACGGGTTTCTACCAAATATAGCCGCCGTGGGAGCTGGAGCGCCCTTGAGGAGAGGAGCTGGATTTGATATTCACACCGCTGCCAAAGTTTCTAATTAAAACGCTGAGATCCTTTCGATCTTGCGGGGTATTTGCAGGCCAACTCTTTTTTTCTTTTTTTAAAAACTCTAATCGGATAATTATACATCTCAATTGGCCCGTTTTTTCCTACCTTGGCGCATGTTTATCAAAGCCGCCCAACAGTAGCCATTTTTAAGTCTCCGATTTTCCTGAAGCTGCTCAACCTGCTCTGCGCCTCATCCTTAACCTGTGTGCGCGCACACATCATTGCACAATTTCCCTTTTTCCTCTGCCCGTTGCTCTCGACCTGAGCGGGACCGCTGCGTGCCTGGGGACGCGGTGCCATGGCGCGGATGCTGATCGTCGCCGTCTGCCTGTTGGCTCTCGGCATGGCGGTGGGCAGGGCTGGGGCTGAGGGTGGAAACCAGCAAGCCAAGGCGGAGAGCCCGCCGGTGGTCACCCTGCAGACCCTGATCGCGGGATCCTGTCAGGAGATCCAGCGTTACGCGGAGTCGGTGCTGGGAGCCGGCGTGATCCGTTCAGCTGCCGAGGTACAGAGAGGAGGTGCACCCCCGGCTCTTTCTCTTTTCCCCCTGTCACCAGGAAGTGGATATGCTCAAAATTATAGTCCTTTTTTTCCCCTCCTTAATATCCTAACGTCGCTGTTTTCTCTATGCGTGATCAATAACTGTACCTGATTACTAATTTTCAGCTCCAACCCTGTCCCCCCTTTTCCAACCCCATCACTTCACCCTTCACACACATTACGATCCCCATGCTCTTCAACTTGTTAATCCTCTTGATCCCCTCATCTTCTCCACCCTCATCTTATGCGTCCCCCCACTCTCCCGTCTCATCCTCTCTCACACACACACACACACACATATCTCCGTCTCCCTGCCTCCACCCTGCTGCGACTCCCTTCTTCTCAGAGTGCAGTGTTGTTTCTTGAGTCATTGCTTGGCCAGGAGAACGTCTATACCGTGGCCATGGTAAGAAATTGCCCCCCCTTTGGGTTTTTTCATCTCATCTCCCAGGCATGGGCCCTTAAACAGAGTCCTCCCCCCCACTGGGCCTCTGTTTAGCCCATGCCAGACCTGTAGTTACAGGAAGTAGGAGCATGACCATAGTGAAGCCAGCTCTACTTTAGTGATATTTGCATGTTAGGTCACAGATCACTAGCTTACTGTGACTCAGATGGTGTCTCTGAATGTATGTGTCTGTTAGAACTTGTCTCTGTATGCAACCCCCGAGTAGAACTGAACTTTCAGACGGCACAATAAGGTTGTTAAAGTTCCCAAAAAGTTATTTATTGGTCACATTTTTATCGCAGAAAAAGCAGAGCATCAGGTCGGCACTCTGCACAGACGGTCCGTGGGGAGAATGTAGCAGCAACAACATTTTTCAAGAACACATTCTGTTAACTTCATTGGGAACGTTCAGTTCACAGAGTGTGATGTATCTGATGCTGGTTCGGACAAATAGCTTTGTAAAAAGTCTTTGTCTGCAACAAGCCTCCGACCGATTCGATCAGTCCTCTCTGTGACATTCACCGTATGTAAACCGAGCCTCCACTAAATGATTAGTGGCGTTTTCGAGTTACATGCACGCGCTGACATGAAGGGACAGATGCCGGGCTCTGGCTCCTGACACTGCCCAGACCTCGGTGCGTGCCTGTGTGGAGTGCAACAGGTGCAGATAAGACCCCCCCCCCCCCGGCTCACTGGGTTACCCTTGACCCTGCTGGACAAGGCCGAACTATGTCTGAATGTTGTTGCTGCTCTTTTTCTTTTTTGTTTGCTTGTCATCTTTCATTTGGGGGAGGGGAATGCTTGCGAGGAGGTACTATACGGGAATAGAGAGGGGGTGCTTTCCAGCTGTCACCCACATGCGCTTCTGTCTGTGGAAGTCAGCCCTGTTAACGGTCAGGACGTGTGTCAGCTGTTCGCTCTGTGCTCCAGCATAACAAACGACTTTTGGAGCCGCCTGCGCATTCTGGGCTTTTGCCCCTGCATGATCAGAATGTTGCCTCTCTTCATTGTTGCCTGGTGTAAAAAAGTGAAATGACGTCTCCGCCCTTCCTCCCCTCGACCGCAGTTTTTGGAGACGGTGATCCGATTCCTGGCTGAAGGAGCGGCCAGCGGCCTGAATGTCATCGCCGTTTACGTCACAGAGATCCTCAGGGTCACGGGATTCGATGGTGGGTAAAAGGGTGACCCCCCGATTGTCGCCGAGTGGCTTTGCAGCATGCTCCGGAAATGAATGCTTTAAGCTCAGGGGGAATTATGCAGCCTTTCCTCCGGGCAGTTTGCGTGCCACACCTTTTTAAGGTGTGTTCACTTCTGCTGCTTTCTCTCCAACAGGCAAGCTTTTGTTAGGCTTTGTTTTGAACAAATCTGCATCTAAGCTGGATTTCCTCTCCCCACAGTTGCGCTGACACTGCCCCGCTTCACTCCGGAGGGCGTGACCGCCGTGGCCCAGTGGGGTCTGGTGGCCCTCATCGGCTACTGGGTCCTGACCGTCGTCCTCCGTCTGCTGATTGGTGTGGTAAAGCAGGTGTTCTGGGTGGTGAAGACGGTGCTGGCGCTCTGGTTGTTCGGACTGATCGTGACCGACAAGCACGCCGCCGCGGACACCACGGCCGTGCGATTGGGCGGCCTGGTGCTCACATGCGTCCTGTTGACTCTGCTTACCTCTGGCTCCGATAAGCCCCGTGCGGTGGAGGACCGCCTGGACAGCCTGGAGGGGCGTCTGAAGGCGGTGGAGAAGAAAAAAGGGGAATAGGGATGATGGATAAAAGTGATGATGGTAAAATAGGCCGAGAAAGTGGCAACACTAATGATTAATGTATCTGTGAGAGATGTTGGGAAATAAAGTAATCTCTGGGATTTTTAATCAGATAGGCTTTTTTTGTTCATTTCCTCACATGGCAAGAAACAATAACAAGCAGCTGATTCGAATCACAGTATTATTATTATTATTATTATTATTATTATATTATAGTTGTTATAAATTATTTCAATGTTATTGAAATAATATGAGACAATAAGATGTGTCTCATAAAAAGACACTGGACAGTCAGATAAAAAGGAAAAGGGTCAACTATGGGCACTCTTTAATCATAAACCTGTTTGGACGTTTGTAAGAAGGTCAGCCACGCTAACGAATTGGGTAAATTTGTCTCGATTGGCTTAACAAATGCATCATGCATCATCTTTATTGTCAACTTTGAAATAGTACAGCACTTGAATGTCAATGGCTCACTGAAGTAATGTCCGATTCCCCTTAAATGAAATGAGCCAGCAGTGGCGAGATCAGTTACTTGGATCAGTCACTATCTCAGATTAGACTTCACTGAAAAAGAAAGGTCATATGATCAGACATGTACTTTAAATCTTGACTGGGGTTGAAAGCTGATTTATGAGCCCAAATAATTATTCATGCATCCTACAAACTCTCCTCCCTCTTACGTCGTGCCATGATAGACTTTGATATGTTTGGAGACATTATTAAGTTCCAGTCTTTACTTTAAGAGGAAGATTCAGCCCAACGTGAGACAACAGGCTCAGTGGTGTCATTCACGATGCATTAAATGACAACGGTGAGCGGAAAGTTGTGCCGATGAAAACAATTTTGTGGTTCATTCAAGCTCCACATAAAATGCGACCCATTTATCAGGCTTAAAAAAGCGGGGACAGTGGTCAACAGAAGACCATCACTGCCAGCTGCCTTCCCCCTGCTCTGCATAAATCGTCATACAGGCACATGGTAAACACATTTCAGTGACAACATTCCGATCCACACAGCTTTCTGTTAAATCTAGTCAGATAAGTGCTTCCATCTCTCCTAGTAAACTCTAAATGACCAGTTTCAGTTTATCAGAAGGTAATTATAACGTTTGAACCTCTTATGGAAATAAATGCTGTACTGAAGAGGAGCAGAGCTTAAGATTGTAACTGGCTGAAACTGTGTGTCCATTCTGTGGTTTAATCGTGACAGAAAATGGGTGTCAGTGTACGGAGAGCTGTCAGTGGAAGCCCGGCATAGATAAGGCTGTGCGTGTGCTGTTGTTCTTTGCAACACACAAAAGGCTCAGTGCCTCCGCAACTTCTGCTGTGTTAAGGCCTCTGGGAATCAGTTGGTATGTTGGGCAGGAATTTATGTGCTTGGATGAGCTTTTGACTCAGAGGTGACGCTGAGGGGTGGTGCCTGGAGCGGCTGTGAAGGGAAATGCTTTTTGCGGGGACATGGCACTGTGGAGTAAAGGCAAACCACACCTTTTGGGGTTAAAGTAGTTTTTATTTTTATTTTTAGCGTACATGTTTCAGAAACATTCACTACTTTTTCTGACTTCATGAAGCTATATAGATAGTGCTTTAAAAACTTAACTATATAGACACGACACTGTAGTGTACCATGCATTCCACAACATTTTAATACAAGCAAATGCAACTAAAACATCTGACATGCTTCGAAAACATCACGACTGTTAATATGCTGTGAACTGAGTCTTGGGTTTCTCTGTGGAAACATTCGAAAATGCATTTAAAATTGCACTTGATTTAAAAAGCAATACACTTATGAGAGCTTCAGTGCAGTGAGGAGGTATTTAAACGCCACTCTTAGACTATACAAAAGAAAATGGCAGTCAGCGTCATACACAATATATTTTTACACAATCATATAAACAGTATGTACAGCTAGGATCAGGAGACTGAGACAAAATAGAGAACAAATAGAGTTCAACATTTCCATGAAAACCTGGGATGGGATCTAAATCTAAGGATTTAAAGATCTATTTTAAAGAAATAGAAAAAAAGTTAAGTTTACTGGTCAATCAAATCTAAGCATTGTATTGCAGAAACACTGCACCACAGTTGAATGATCAAGTAAGACCACAAATAGCCATTCCAACAAGGCAAAAATCAAGGATTTACACAGAAAATAGAAAAAAGGGTATACAATAAATGAAGAATATAGTAGTGGATGTCTCAGAGGACAGGTAGCACAACACTCAGAAGAGTCAGACAACAGTACATGTAGTAGAAAGCTGCATTTCCTGATAAATTGTGTTAGAAGAAAGATGCAACCCTGACAAGTGATGAGATATCCCTCCACTTTAGAGACATGGCACAGACTTTTGCTTTGAGGCACTTATCCTGCAGCAAACACCTCCAAGATTTGAAGATTTACCAGAAAACTGAGAGTTGTCAAGTGTGACTGACTTTTCTTAATTGCCCTTTATGACCTGAACATTCAAAGAGGAGGCACTTAAAGATTGAGAATGCCAAACATTTAAAAAGTTTGACACAAAAAAATAGTTCACTAGTGGTCTCAGAATTTTAGAATAAAGTGTGTGTGTGTGTGTGTGTGTGCGTGAGAGTGTTACACTTTAGCACCTGATGTTTTTTTCCCCCCATCTTAGGGTAATGCAACTCCAAATGCACATTCAGCTTTGTCAGTACGACACACTTAAAACAATGTACACACATTGTAAAGATGATCTGAATCTGAAACAGAATAAAGACACGTCTTTTCTGAGACAGTTACCCTGTTCCCTGAAGACCTGCAGCTTTGAAGAAGGCATTCAGAATAAAAAAAACAACATTTCAAATAATTTCAACTCTAAAAGATCTCTAATCAAAACACTGCCTGCATCGACAAAAAATAACATTAGAAAAACACATAACTAAACAAAAAGTTGATTACATTAGTGGTTATGAGCTACGCCATACCTTAGCTTGTAAATGCTACCTGGAAACAAGCAGAATCCACGACTTAATAAACACATTTATATCTTTCATGATACACAAAATAACATATGTACAAACTTATCAATTCTCTCAGAGAAAATTTAATTTGTCTGAAGTATAAACATCTGAATGGGGGGTATTAGAGTTAAAGTTTATTCCCTTCAATTCAAACCGTGGCTCAAAGTCAGAGGAGAGGGGCAAAGTCGGAGTGTCTGCCAGAGCTGCAACCTGGAAGAGAAAAACGACAGACGCGTCTCACCATCATGCTAAAGGAAGACCGTTATATTGTCTAAAGTGTAGGATGGAGAGCACTAATGTAAAAATATCATGACTATAGCTTCTAAGCCATACGTGGTAACTGTACCATAATTATCACAGTTTTAGGGAACATGAGTGGGTTAATTTACTGTTTAATTTATTCCAACATTGTGAACACTTGGATTATTCTTATTATATTGAAACTGCATTAAAATAAAAATAATTAAAAGAAACTGGGAACAGCAGACAGGTGTTTTTTCACCTCCCATTTTCCTCAGTCAGCAGTCTGTTTATGTATGGGCTCATGTAAGCTAAAGCAGTGTCCACAGATCCATCTTTC